TTAAACACATTATAATTAATAACAGTAAATAGTAATTTTAAAGAGAATCTTAGCCATATAGAGATGTACATTTTATCACACAAAATCAAGTACAAACTCAGTTAAAAATCAAACTCATATTTGCATTAACCCATTGCTTTAATATTTGTTCCAACTGACATATTTATACCATTTTTACAAATAATGAACAATTCCTAATACATAATGCAAAACATTTTATAAATAATTGTAAGTCAGTAAGCTTAAATAATGGTTAATATATTGATTAGGAACAGGTTTATCAACAAAAGTTAGATATTTATTTTGGTGTGATACATTTTGAAACATTCAGGCATACATAATGTGACTTCACACTTTTCACATTCCCATCAGTTGGTGCTTTTGATTTGTTTTGCTGCACATAACTTATACTAACTTTAGGGGTTTACATTGATAGGTTTAAATATTCCTGGGAAAGCATCTCCAAGTGGTTGCCTGTAGGTGTATCATACAATTACCATACAGTTCTGGATTATTTCCCAGAGATCTACCAATATTACAGTTTTATGTTTTTTTGGCTATAGTGTAGTGCTAGGAGTTTTACTTTCACTAGTGTTACACAAACTACTGTAATTTGCACTCGTACAAAAGTTTCTCTGTTCTCCATTTGACCAGTGCATACTATGAAATGTATAAACATATAAGGCTATACTTAGCAGATGTTTTCGTCAGTGTTACTTCCCAAAAATACATTTAACACCTTCTATATACCACAATAACTTTCAAAGTCAAACAATGGGCCTATACAACGAATGTGTAAAGAAAACTATAACAAATGTGTCCTAGTACAAGCATTCTACCATATATGGCTTACATGAAGTAACTATTTCATAGTGTAAGCTACTTGTGACCCAATGATGTCATGTTTAAGGAAAGGAATGCAATGGGTTCCCCTAACCCTCTAAGTACAGATCAGGTTATTCTGTGCATGTCACGATGTTTCACATACTTACTTTCAAAATTTAATTAAACAACTATAAAATTATATAAAATTCTCAATCCTCACAGTGACAAGTGCTTTTAATTTTTTCCTTTTAGTATAAAGTCAATGTTCCAACACTGTCTAGGTTATGTATACACAATATATAAACAATTCCTAGGTCCATTTTACAGTTTCAATGTCCTAACTTCTCCATTTAGTGAGATATCACAATAGAAGCTTCACCTCACTTCACTTCAAGGCAGTTTTCAAAACAACATCATCGTATTTGATTCACTTCTTTATAACCATAAGAAAGCTTATTTTCTATTTCAAACTTTTGACAGTCTCTTCAAGTTGATGGCAGACATAACTAGACATCCTGGTTGTGTTAACACCTTTGTAAGGAAAGTTAGCACTTTTAGCTAGAAAGATTGTCAAATTAGTGGTTTTTGGACATTTTACTTTAGTAAATTATGTATTATTTGTATTTTCAGATGACTATTTGAAAGGTGAAGGATTTTCCTTGTGGAAGGAGTTAAAGAAAGTTTTAACAAGGCTTAGCTCATTAGGCAATAAGTGCAGAACTTCATGTGAATTTGCTAATGTCTTCCTCTGTGGTGTGTTCATTTCAGGCATTAATGAACTTTACATCATAAATAAAACTAGAAAATTAAGAATTAACTATATGTGAAAATATGTTGAAACTGTGAAGAGCATGAACTAAAAGTTTTGGAAATAAATTATAAACTAAAAGAAAAATGTATGTTGATATTTTCATAAGTTTCAAAATTTTATTTCACTGTATTGTTCGTACAACTACTGTCAGGGTTAGGGTAGAGAAAAAAGCAGATAAGAGTATAAATTATGTTAAAAGCTTTTGATATTCATTCAGCAAGTTCTAAAGATTATGCAAATAAAATACAAAACTGGAAGATGAAAGGTGTTTTTATTCTTAACACTCACACCAAGTCAAACCAACACCAAAAATTCAGACAAATTTATAGTAAAAGAACTATTAAAAAATCTGATTTTCTGTGTGTATAACAAACTAGAACTTGTCAAATTTTATGAAGATACAATTAGTAATTTCAAAGTAGTAGTATTTATAGTTCCTTGGTTACATGGTGATTACAGGTTTATCAAAATTACCCAATAAAAAAAAATGTTCATCCACTAAACCCAATTACTTCCTATATTTCATTTCACCAATAAAACTAGTGGTTGAAACTGTTTGAAACTTCATAAGAACTTTC